TACATCTTGCATATCTGATATTTACATTATGATTTATAACAGTAGTAAAATGACTGTTATGAAGTAGCAACAAAAACAATGTTATGGTTGGGGGTCACCACAACATGAGGGACTGTATTAAGGGGTCACGGCATTAGGAAGGTTGGGAACCACTGATCTAGAATATGGCCATATAGCCCGAAAAAACCTACAACAACCCAGTGATTCCAGGCATGAAAGCCTTCGACAATACATAGAATATATTGTATTCAGGAAAACGTAGTGAACCTATGGCTATTATCCTATGCATATTTACTTGGGAGGGAATGCTACTGAAAGAGAACTACTTACCTTGGAGTAAATATGTCTAGGATTGCATTGTAAGGATATTTATGAGAAACAACATCCCATTCGAGTCAGTGGGCTATATTTCTGAGTTCTCATGTTTCAGCCTAAACCCCCCAAAATGTAATTCTGTTTGGAAAATGTTTATATTTCCCCTTTAATATATGACATTTCCATCAGAAGAAATGTCATATAGCAATAACTCACATGAGTGATGGAGGATTTTTGTATGCGCCTTCATCAATGTCCTGGGAGAGTACATTTTATGTTCCATTTTATACATCTAGCCTAGAATTTCTATGCAAGTTATGGTGTCATTGAAATCTATGGGTGTATAATTTCAAATGAAGGGTTATCTGTCACTTTTGGAGATAATTTGTTTGACAATTGAGGCTTCTTCCACACAGCTGAATAAAATCCCACATTATCTGCTTTCAATTGGAATAAGTGGCAGTGCGGACTCAAATTATTTATTTATTTATTTATTTATTTATTTAAAAGTTTTATATACCGAACTTCTCACCTCTCTTGAGGGACTCAGACTGGTTTCCAACCGTAATATCACATACAGTCAATAAAACATCATACTTCATATTGCAATAAAACATTAAAACTTTAAAACAGCCAAACAGCAATTACATTCAATAAATACAATGGTCAGTCGTCCCACTAAATTTGATGTTCGTCATCCTCCATCCATATCTCAGGGTGTTGACTCACTCTTCGAATGCCTGTCTCCATAACCACGTCTTCACCTGCTTCCTGAATGTCAGGATAGAAGGGGCGGTTCTGATCTCCGGTGGGAGAGAGTTCCAGAGTCGAGGGGCCACTACCGAGAAGGCCCTGTCCCTTGTCCCCACCAGATGTGCTTTCGGGGCCAGTAGGACCGAGAGCAGGGCCCCTTCAGACGATCTTAATAATCTTGGTGGTTCATAGGGGAGAATACGTTCGGAGAGGTAAACAGGGCCGGAGTCGTTTAGGGCTTTATAGGTTAACACCAGCACTTTGAATTGTGTTCGGAAGCTAATTGGCAGCCAGTGGAGCTGGCGCAACAGAGGAGTTGTGTGCTCCCTGTACCCAGCACCCGTTAGCATTCTGGTTGCCGAGCGTAGGACTAGCTGCAGCTTCCGGGCAGTCTTCAGAGGCAACCCCACGTAGAGAGCGTTGCAGTAATCTAAACAGGATGTAAACAAAGCGTGGACCACCGTGGCCAAGTCAGACTTCCCAAGGTACGGGCGCAGCTGGCACACAAGTTTTAATTGTGCGAAGGCTCCCCTGACCACCGCCGAAACCTGGGGCTCCAGGCTCAGCGATGAATCTAGGAGAACTCCCAGACTGCGAACCTGCGTCTTCAGGGGGAGTGTAACCCCATCGAGCACAGGCTGTAACCCTATGCCCTATTCGGCCTTTCGACTGACCAGGAGTACCTCTGTCTTGTCTGGATTTAGTTTCAATCTGTTGTCCCTCATCCAGTCCGTTACAGTGGCCAAGCACCGGTTCACGACTTGGACAGCCTTAGTAGCAGGTGGTAAGGAGTGACAGAGTTGGACCCAGTTCAAATAACCCAGTTCAAAACAGATATTGTGGGATATTCTGGGTTATAGGGTTGTGTGGAAGGGCACCGAATAGCGATGACGCAGTGGCATCTCTATGAGGGGCAGGGGATGCCAACCGTACTGGGTGACATGGGGGTGATACCAAAATTATTATCTGTAATTTTTAGTGCAGTTTTGCAACATAAATGTATTATTTATTATTATAAAGTCCCTAAAGTGTGTGTGTGTGTGTGTGTGTATTTTGTCATATGGGAGTTGTAGTTACTGGGAATTATAGTTCACCTACAATCAAAGAGCATTCTGAACTCCACCAATGATGGAATTGAACCAGTCTTGGCACCCAGGACTCCCACGGCCAACAGAAAATGCTGTGACCCCTTAACCCAGTTGGTCATGGGCAGAGGCGGCCCTAGGTAATTTTCAACGGTAAGTAAACAGTATTTTGGTGCCCCCCCCCCCAACCAATCACTGATATATATTTTCTGTTCGTTGTGGGAGTTCTGTGTGCCATATTTGGTTCAATTTCATCATTGGTAGAGTTCAGAATGCTCTTTGATTGTAGGTGAACTATACATCCCAGTAACTACAACTCGCATATGTCAAGGTCTATTTTCCCCCAAGAGCGCCTCAAGAGCCCCCCTGGGCAAAATCAACTATACTGCTAATGCTTACTTTGCGTATGGGTTGTGCCGCCCCTGGTCTTGGGAGTTCTGGGTGCCAAGACTGGTTCAATTCCATCATTGGTGGAGTTCAGAATGCTCTTTGATTGTGGTTTCTCAACCTTCCTAATGCTGCGACCCCTTAATACAGTTCTGCATGTTGTGGTCACCCCCAATCATAAAATTATTTTTGTTGCTACTTCACAACTGGAATTTGCTGTTATTATGAATCATAATGTAAATATCTGATATGAATTATTTATTTTCACCCAAATTTGCATACCGGTTGTTGATTTTGTCATTTGGGAGTTGTAGTTGCTGAGATTTATAGTTCATCTCACAATCAAATAGCATTTTTAACTCCACCAATGATGGAATTGAACCAAATTTGACACCCAGAACACCCATGACCAGGAGAAAATACTGGAAGGTTTTGGTGGGCATTGACCTTGAGTTTGGGAGTTGTAGTTCACCTACATCCAGGAAGCACTGTGGACTCAAACAATGATGGATCTGGACCAAACTTGGCATGGATATTCCATATACCCAAATATGAACACAGATGAAGCTTGGGGGAAATAGACCTCGACATTTGGGAGTTGTAGTTACTGGGTTTGGTCATGAAGTACAACTTCCTTGAGTTTGGGAGTTGTAGTTCGCCTACATCCAGGAAGCACTGCGGACTCAAACAATGATAGATCTGGACCAAACTTGACACGAATACTCAATATGCCCAAATGTGAACACTGGTGGAGTTTGAGGGAAAAGAGATGCCCAACCTATATACCAGGGGTCCTCAAACTAAGACCCGGGGGCCGGATGCGGCCCTGCAAGGTCATTTACTCGGCCCTTACTCAGGGTCGACCTAATTCTGAAACGACTTAAAAGCGCACAATAACAACAACAATCCTATCTCATCAGCCAAAAGCAGGCCCACACTTCCCATTGAAATACTAATAAGTTTATATTTGTTAAAATTGTTCTTCATTTTAATTATTGTATTGTTCTAAAGTGTCTTTTTAAGTATAAATAAGATATGTGCAGTGTGCATAGGAGTTCATTCATGTTTTTTTCAAATTATAATCCGGCCCTCCAGCAGTTTGAGGGACTGTGACCTGGCCCTCTGTTTAAAAAGTTTGAGGACCCCTGCTGTATATGGTTGTTGGGGGAAAGGGGTATCAGAGAGATTTCTCAGCAAACTCGAGACCAGTGGTTCTCAACCTTCCTAATGCCACGACCCCTTAATACAGGTCCTCATGTTGTAGTGACCCCCAACCATAAAATTATTTTCATTGCTACTTCATAACTGAAAATTTGCTACTGTTATGAATCGTAATGTAAACATCTGATATGCAGGATGTATTTTCATTCACTGGACCAAATTTGGCACAAATACCCAATACACCCAAATTTGAATGCTGGTGGGGTTGGGGAAAGGATTGGTTTTGTCATTTGAGAGTTGTAGATGCTGGGATTTATAGTTCACCTAAAAGCAAAGAGCATTCTAAACTCCACAAATGATGGGATTGAACCAAATTTTGCACACAGAACTCCCATGACCAACTGAAAATACTGGAAGGGCTTCATGGGCACTGACAGTGAGTTTGGGAGTTGTAGTTCACTTACATCCAGGAAGCACTGTGGACTCAAGCAATAATGTATCTGGACCAAACTTGGCAGGAATACTCAATATGCCCAAACGTGGACACTGGTGGAGTTTAGGGGAAAACAGACCTTGACATTTGGGGAGTTGTAGTTGCTGGGATTTATAGTTTACCTACAATCAGAGATGTGCATTCCAAACTCCACCAACAACGGAATTGGGCCAAACTTGGCACACAGAACTCCCATGACAACAGAAAATACTGGAAGGGTTTGGTGGGCATTGACCTTGAGTTTTGGAGTTGTAGTTTTCCTACATCCAGAGAGCAGTTCACCCACATCCAATCAATGATCTGGACCAAACTTGGCACGAATACTCAATATGCCCAAATGTGAACACTGGTGGAGTTTGGGGAAACAGATCTTGACATTTGGGAGTTGTAGTTGCTGGGATTTATAGTTCACCTACAATCAAAGAGCATTCTGAACCCCACCAATGATAGAATTGGGCCAAACTTCCCATACAGAACCTCCATGACCAACAGAAAATGCTGTGTTTTCTGATGATTTTGGCAACCACTCTGACACCTCCTTATAACCGAACCCCAGGTTGAGAAACGCTGTACTAGGTCTTGAGGTTCAAACCCAGGTTATGAGATATGGGAACCCTATTGGCAGCATAAGCCAGCTTCTGATGTTCCAACCACTGCACTTGACAAGATATTTTTATATACAGACAGACGCACACGCAAATCAATGTTTGATGCCTGTGAGATGTTTCCAACTACATCCCCATCACATCACAACAAAATCCCCCATCTCTCTCCGCAACACCCTCTGGACTTGTCAAATATTTCACGTATTTTCTCATCTTGACTGTCTTTAGGGGAAAGCTGTTTACCAGATTTTCTGTCTGTCTTCATCTCCTTCTCCTCTCTCCTTCTCCATCTGTTTCACAGGTATTTGCACAGCTGATAAGGCCCTTTAAAATGAACAGAAATGGAGCAATTTCGAGATAGAAGCTATAGACTGAGGCAGCACGAAGGAACATGGGACAAGCATCGAAATGGAGGATGTATTGTAGCATAAGATCAGAAAAGGACCGAATTAATGACTATTTAAAAATTGGCCTGAGTTCTAAGATCTGTGAATGCGACAATAGCGCCTTCTTCAAAGGATGGTCCATCAATGAATCTGCATTTGCATGGAAACACAAGACTGTGACAATGAATCTCCATTTTTAGAAAGACTGGTCTCTCATCTCTGGCCAAATGAAAGAAACTGGTCATATGCACCCCAAATATAAAAGTAGAACAATATCCAAGCTCACGACATAACTGACGCGACCCTATATTCAATTTCAAAGGACGTATATCATTCTTCTTTGTCTTACTTTTGGTTTAACTCTGCTCCTTCTTGTTGTTCGACTCATGGAATCCACTGGCTGTTTGGACAATTGCCCGTCCAATCTGAGTATTTATGAAGCTGGCCATAGGAACAGCTCCAATTGGACTTCTCAGTTCAGTGGGGTGGAGATGATCCAGTCTTTTAAACCTCTGATCATCCCTTGCTACACGTTGGTTGTCCTTGTGGGCATCGTTGGCAACTATCTCCTCCTCTACGTCATCTGTAAGACCAAGAAGATGCACAACGTCACCAACTTCTTCATCGGAAACCTGGCCTTTTCGGACATGCTGATGTGTGCCACCTGCGTACCTTTCACTCTGGCATATGCCTTCAACCCCCAGGGATGGGTCTTTGGAAAGTTCCTCTGCTATTTTGTCTTTCTGATGCAGCCCATGACGGTATACGTGTCTGTTTTCACCCTCACGGCTATTGCAGTGGACAGGTAATTCCTCTCAATGTGATTGATCTGGAATCATAAACATTTGGAAACAAACATAGTTGAATGTGTTGTTGAATGCGTTCATGGCCGGAATTACTGTGAGTTGCTGTGAGTTTTCCGGGCTGTATGGCCATGTTCCAGAAGCATTCTCTCCTGACGTTTCACCCACATCTATGACAGGCATAGAATCATAGACTCATAGAGTTGGAAGACACCTCATGGGCCATCCAGTCCAACACCCTGCCAAGAAGCAGGAATATTGCATTCAAAGCACCCCTGACAGATGGCCATCCAGCCTCTGTTTAAAAGCTTGCAAAGTAGGAGCCTCCACCACACTCTGGGGCAGAGAGTTCCACTACTGAACGGCTCTCACAGTCAGGAAGTTTTTCCTCATGTTCAGATGGAATCTCCTTTCTTGTAGTTTGAAAACATTGTTCCGCTGATCCATTGGGTCTCCCCAGGCAGTAACCAGCCAGGCTTTGAAGCTGCAAGGCCATTAAATGCTAATCAGAGGTTATGAGGTCAAATTGGAAACTAGGCAAGTGGAATGATGTCCATAGACATGCCATAGACACACAAAATATCTAGACTGTTGCAACTCAGGGTAGTTTTCACCTTGCTCCAGACACCACCACACCAAAGCTGTAGGTTTTGTAGTTTATTGTGAAAAGGGCAAAATCTAAACAGAGTATATGCAATGCATAAAATCCATAATTTGGATTCAGAAACTTGTTTATATGACCTTGACTTGTGCATGAGGTTGATCCAGTGTTTCTCAACCTGGGGGTCGGGACCCCGGAGGGGGTCACGAGGGGGTGTTAAAGGGGTCGCCAAACACCATCAGAAAACATAGTATTTTGTAGTGGTCATTGGGATTCTGTGTGGGAAGTTTGACCCAATTCTATTGTTGGTCGAGTTCAGAATTCTCTTTGATTATAGTAAAGGTAAAGGTAGTCCCCTGACATTAAGTCCAGTCATGTCTGACTCTGGGGTGTGGTGCTCATCTCCATTTCTAAGCCGAAGAGCCAGCGTTGTCCGTAGACACCTCCAAGGTCATGTGGCTGGCATGACTGCATGGAGCGCCGTTACCTTCCCGCTGGAGCGGTACCTATTGATCTACTTACATTTGCATGTTTTCGAACTGCTAGGTTGGCAGAAGCTAGGGCTGACAGCAGAAGCTCACGCCGCTCCCCGGAATCAAACCTGTGACCTTTCGATCAAGAAGCTCAGAAGCTCAGTGCTTTAACCCACTGCACCACCGGGGGCTCCATTCTTTGATTATAGGTGAACTATAAATCCCAACAACTACAACTCCCAAATGTCAAGGTCTACTTTCCCCAGACTCTACCAGTGTTCACATTTGTGCATACCGAGTATTTGTGCCAAGTTTGGTCCAGATCCATCATTGCATGAATCCACAGCGCTCCTCTGGGTGTAGGTGAACTACAACTCCCAAACTCAAGGTCAATGGCCACAAAACCCTTCCAGTGTTTTCTGTTGGTCATGGGAGTTCTTTGTGCCAAGTTTGGTTTAAATCCATCGCTGGTGGAGTTCAGAATGCTTTTTGATTATAGGTGAACTATAAATCCCAGCAACTACAACTCCCAAATTACAAAATCAATCCCCCCCCCAACCCCACTAGCATTCACATTTGGGCATATTGGGTATTGGTGCTCAATTTAGCCCAGTGAATGAAAATCCATCCTGCATATCGGATATTTACATTGCGATTTATACCAGTGCTAAAATGACAGGTATCAAGTAGCAACGAAAACAATATTATGGTTGGGGGTCACCACAACATATGGAACGGCATTAAGGGGTCACGGCATTAGCAAGGTTGAGAACCACTGGGTTGATCTATCCCAGGCATGGGCAAACTTTGGCCCTCCGGGTGTTTTGGACTTCAACCTACCGGTGGTTAGGAATTGTGGGAGTTGAAGTCCAAACACTTGGAGGGCCAAAGTTTGCCCATAGCTGATCTATACACACACATATATATGCCTGATCTGTACACACACACATATATACGGTGTTCCTTACTAATTTTATATTGAAATTGAGACATTCTATCTTTGCAGAAACTCCTATTTCTACATCTTTCCCTTGTTTTCAGTTGCATTCAGCCACATGAGTAATTTGCTTCTGTGTCAAATAATACATTGTGATGTATTAAGTATAGAACAAATATAACAGTTCTGGAAGAAACTGTCTGCTAAGGAGGACTTTCTTTGAAGAAGATTTTGAGAAACTCACTGGAGAGGACATAATTTTCTGGTTCTGAGCTATTTTTGGTACAGGTCCCTGCAGTGAGAGGAAGTGATAGGAAAATAAGCTTATTCTTGTCCTTGGGTTCGTGATAGAATCATAATGCAAGCTTGATGGAGTGGAAGAGGGGAAGGGTGCAAAAAGGAATAGGAAGGGAATAAGAAGCAGTGAACTATTTCTATTCCCAGCTGGAAACAGTGGAAGAGGGAGCAACAGTTTAATCTCTGATGCAGTGTTATGTCCCTGCATCACTTCGTGGAAAACAGGAGGGCATCTGCAGAACAGAAAGGAAGGAAGGAAGGAAGGAAGGGAAGGAAGGAAGGAAGGAAGGAAGGAGGAAAGGAAGGAGGAAAGAGAAAGATAGGTGGATGTATGGGAGAAAGCAATGGAAGATGGAAAGGAAGGAAGGAAGGAGGAAGGAAAGAAAGAAAGAAAGAAAGAAAGAAAGAAAGAAAGAAAGAAAAAAGGAGGGAAAGAAGGAAAGAAAGAAAAAGAAAGAACGAAAGAAAGGAAGGAAGGAAAGAAGGAAGGAAGCAAAGAAAAAAGGAAAGAAAAAAAGGAAAGAAAGAAAAAAGGAGGGAAATAAGGAAGGAAGGAAGGAAGGAAGGAAGGAAGGAAGGAAGGAAGGAAGGAAGGGAAAGGGAAGGGAAGGGAAGGGAAGGGAAGGGAAGGGAAGGGAAGGGAAGGGAAGGGAAGAAGGAAGGAAGGAAGGAAGGAAGGAAGGAAGGAAGGAAGGAAGGAAGGAAGGGAGGGAGGGAGGGAGGGAGGGAGGGAGGGAGGAAGGAAAGAAGGAAAGAGAAGGAAGGAATGACAAAAGGGTGGAAGAAAAGAAGGAAAGAAGGAAAGAAGGAAGAAGGAAGGAAAGAAAAGAAAGAAAAGAGGAGGGAAAGAAAGAAGGAAAGAAGGAAGGAAAGAAGAAATGAAGGAAAGAAAGAAAAAAGGAGGGAAAGAAGGAAAGAAGGAAGGAAGGAAGGAAAGAAAGAAAAAAGGGGGAAAGAAAGAAAGAACGAAAGAAGGAAGGAAGGAAGGAAGGAAGGAAGGAAGGAAGGAAAAGAAAGAAAGAAAGAAAGAAAGAAAGAAAGAAAGAAAGAAAGAAAGAAAGAAAGAAAGAAAGAAAGTGCTATATACTACTAAGTCTAGAAATTATAGTCAAAAATAACCTGGGTCTACTTAGCCATGACTCTTCATCACACTAGAGAAAAAAATCCACTTAAAATCCTGTTTCTGCTTCTTGCAGAATTCTGGGGTTTGTAATCTAGTGAGGCTGTAAAAGGCTCCTTCCTAAACTACAAACCCCAGAATTCTGCAGGAGGCAGAAATAGGATTTTAACTGGATTTGTTTTTCTAGTGTGATAAGTCCCTATGTAAGTAAGCAGGTCACAAAGGAGGTAAAGGTTTCCCCTGACATTAAGTCTAGTTGTGTCTGACTCTGGGAGGTGGTGTTCAGCTCCGCTTTGTCATTTGGGAGTTGTAGTTGCTGGGATTGAAAGCTCCCTTACAATTAAAGAGCATTTTGAACTCCACCAACAATGGAATTGAACCAAACTTCGGCACACAGAACTCCCATGTCCAACAGAAAATACTGGAAGGGTTTGGTGGGCATTGACCTTGAGTTTGGGAGTTGTAGTTGACCTACATCCAGAGAGCACTGTGGACTCAAACAATGATGGATCTGGACCAAACTTGGCACAAATACTCAATATGCCCAAATGTGAACACTGGTGGAGTTTGGGGAAAATAGACCTTGACATTTGGGAGTTGCAGTTGCTGGGATTTGTAGTTTTCTGAACCCCACCAACGATAGAATTGGGCCAAACTTCCCACAGAGAACCCCCATGACCAACAGAAAATACTATGCGTTCTGATGGTCTTTGGTGACCCCTCTGAAACCCCCTCACAACACCCCCCCGGGGGTCCCGACCCCCAGGTTGAGAAACACTGGTATAGATGTTAAGAAGTATGTATTGATTCATGTCTATATACATGTATATAGATTTGTTTCATTATTTTTTTGTTTTTTTATATATTTTTATTGATTTTGTTTTACAAAACACATTGATAAAAACAAGGAATGAAAGTGAAGGGAGGTTACAGAGGGAAGTTATGGGTAAGGAAAAGGGACTGGGAGGGGAGGAAGGAGGGATCACGTGTGGGAAGGGGGAAAAACTGGTGGTGGGGGGGGGAAACAGGGGTGGGGATTGGAAACTTCCAGGTTTATCCAGTATGATACAAACTTTTTTGGCTTAACCTGTTGGGTTTAGCTTTCACATATTATTCCCATCTGTTGTGTAAAATAGATATTTAATTTTTATGTACGCCTTGTGGCTAATTTCCTTGGAGATAATATAAATGCTAATGTAATTAATTGCTTAGGGTCGTTACTCCCTTTTGCTTTTGCTTTTACTTTCATCTTTTTCCTTGGATAATATTTTTTTTGTTTTTTGGGGGTTTTTTTGTTTCTTGATTTATTTTTTTAAGTTTATTATATCTCTATTAAGTACATCCCCTTGTTTTCTTCCTTTATAAATTTTAATACTGATTTCCAGTTGGTTTTCTGTGGTTTCCTGTGGTTTTGAGAAATTCTCTGTGTCAAAATATCCATATTGATTATATCCAATATTTTACGGGTCCAGTGTTCCAGTGTTGGTATTTCTTTATTTTTCCACTGTCTTGCTAGGACCATCCTAGCAGCTGTTGTTAAGTAGAAAATTATTTTATCCTCATTCTTTTCCAGCTTGAGATTGTGGAGTCCTAATAATAGGGTTTCTGGTCTTAGTTCAAATTTTATCTCTAGAATTTTTTCTATCGATCTATGAATTTGCGTCCAATATTTTTTGATCCCTTTACAGTCCCACCACATGTGTAGAAATGTGCCCTTCTCTCTTTCGCATTTCCAACAGCGGTCTTTTTTCTTGATGGATCTGGACCAAACTTGGCACAAATACTCAATATGCCCAAATGTGAACACTGGTGGAGTTTGGGGAAAATAGGCCTTGACATTTGGGAGTTGCAGTTGCTGGGATTTGTAGTTTTCTGAACCCCACCAACGATAGAATTGGGCCAAACTTCCCACAGAGAACCCCCATGACCAACAGAAAATACTATGCGTTCTGATGGTCTTTGGTGACCCCTCTGAAACCCCCTCACAACACCCCCCCGGGGGTCCCGACCCCCAGGTTGAGAAACACTGGTATAGATGTTAAGAAGTATGTATTGATTCATGTCTATATACATGTATATAGATTTGTTTCATTGTTTTTTATTAATATGTAAATTGAAAATAAAAAAAATCAATCTTCAAAAAAAAATACTTCACCTGAGCCATAAGGTCATGTGCAGCCTCTCCTAGATCTTCTTTTCGGGAGAATCAAGGAGACTTTAAATGTGGTAGGATGGAAGTCCTTTGGAAGCTGGCCCTGGGGATGTGTTATACTCATTTCTTTCACTTTTCTCCTAGATATTACACCACCATGCACTTTCTGAAGAAGCGCATCTCCTTTGTGACCTGCGTGTACATCATTGGTGGCATCTGGCTACTGTCCTGTGCTTTGGTTGCCCCCGCAATTGCCCACACTTACCATGTGGAGTTCCAAAAGGAAGGCTTTGCCATCTGCGAGGAGTTCTGGATGGCGGAGGAGAAAGAACGGCTGGCCTATGCGTACAGCACCTTGGTCCTCACGTACATCCTCCCGCTCTCGGCCGTGTCCCTCTCCTACATCTGCATCACCATCAAGCTGAAGAACCGCATTGTGCCGGGTCACCTGACGCAAAGCCAGACCGAGTTTGACCGCCTGAGGAAGAGAAAGATCTTCCGCCTGCTCGTGCTGGTGGTTGCTGCGTTTGCCGTCTGCTGGCTCCCCATCCATGTCTTCAACATCATCCGCGACATAGACATCAACCTCATCAACAAGGACTATTTCCTTCTGATCCAGCTGCTCTGCCACTGGTTTGCCATGAGCTCCTCCTGCTGCAACCCCTTCCTCTACGCCTGGCTCCACGACCGATTCCGAAACGGCCTGAAAGAGATGTTCAGCTTCAAGCAGAAGGTCATTCCCACCAACAATTGTGTTGCAGTCAGTGTCATGCTTTGAGACCTCAGACTTTCGGTGGCCAGAGGATCAATGGCTGATGAGTAATACGCATTTCATTGGTTAGATCTGTGGGAACAAAAATCCTTTTCATCGACCCATCCAGATGTAATTGGGTAGCAAATATTTTGTGCTGTAATGCCAAACAATCTGGCTTTTTTAATTTATTTATTTCAAACATTTATGTTTCGTTGTGCATTTGACTGACGACTCCTTTGACAGATGGTCAACCATGACCTGAATTCAAGTTCCTATATTTGATTATTACATTTTAAGTTAAGCTGAAATGATCCTGTTTACTTGCTCTATTCCTATGCTACTGTATGTTCTATCTACCTTATTGACCAGCCTATCTGTTAACTAGTTTCGCATATTGCCCCCCCCCCCAAATGAGTCTGTTGTTGCTTATGATGCTTGTTTATTATTGTTTATGACATTTTATGCTATTTTTAATATGTTATTGTTCTGTTTTTAATTGTATGTTGCCTTGGGCTTGGCACCATGTAAGCTGCCCCAAGTCCCCTCGGGGAGATGGAGGTGGGGTAGCAAAATAAAGTCCTTCTCCTTCTCCTCCTTCTCCTCCTCCTCCTTCTCCTCCTTCTCCTCCTTCTATCCCGTCCTTCTCACTCCCAAGGGGGACTCAGGGCAGCTCACAGCCAACAACAGTAGTAATAAAAACACATTTAGACGTCAATTAAAACAGCAAAAATTAAAACAACCGATTAAAATAAGACAAATCCAAATCCAGAGTCATCATCCAAGGTCTGTCTATTGTCGATCACATAAATCATTATTATCGTTGCATTTGCTGCTCAAATGCCTGGTCCTATAACCAAGATTTAAGCTTCTTCCTAAAGGATAGGAGAGAGGGGAGCAACCTAATTTCACTCCCATGACCAACAGAAAGTACTGGAAGGATTTGGTGGGCACTGACCTTGAGTTTTGGAGTTGTAGTTCACCTACATCCAGAGAGCACTGTGGACTCAAACAATGAGAGATCTGGACCAAACTTGGCACGGATACTCAATATGCTCAAATGTGAACACTGATGGAGTTTGGGGGAAACAGATGAGGGGCCACCACTGAGAAGGCCCTGTCAGTCACACTTGAAAGGATGGCGGGATCGAGAGCAGTGCCCCCCCCCCCAATGATTATAACCTCCCAGTTGGGCCATAGAGGGAAATATGTTCGGACAAGTAAAGCTGGGCTTTACTTGTTTAGGGTTATATGGGCTAAAGCCAGCACATTTATTTATTTATTTATTTATTTACAGTATTTATATTCCGCCCTTCTCACCCCGTGGGGGACTCAGGGCAGATTACAATGTACATTCAATGCCATAGAAACACAACATATATAGACAGACACAGAGGCAATTTAACATTCCAGCTTTTCTTGAGGGTATTCTGGCCACCAGGGGAGCTGTTCCTTCACGGACCATTTGTGACACTGATGAAGTACTTCCTTATTCTTTGCACGCTTGCTGGAGATTTTAATGGCGTTGTAAATTAGTTAAATTAGCCTCCCCACATAAGCGGTACCTACATTTCCTACTTTCGGGGTGCAACTGTCTTTCGGGGTACAAAGGCCGACAGCAAGCTACACAAATTGGTTGGAAGCTCACTTCGACCCGGGCTGGCTTCAAACTCATGACTTTTCGGTCAGTAGTGATTTTAATGCAGCTGATCCCAGCGAGCTGCGCCACAGTTCCGGTGCTCGGTAGCAAAGCGGCAGCCAATGGAGCTGATATAACAGGGGAGTGGTATGCTCCCTATATGCTGCTCCTATGAGCAATATGGCTGCTGCCCACTGGATTAGTTGAAGCTTCCGAGTAGTCTTCAGAGGCAACCCCACGTAGAGCATCTTGCAGTAATCTATTCGGGATTTTATGGGCATTCTTTGGAGCACACAAGTAAACATCTATCGAATTTATACCCCACATGTTCCTCAAAATTTAATTGAAAGGTTTAGCTAAATAGGATACAAGACAAGAACACAGCACATCACTTTCAAACAGCTTAAAAGTCAGAAACCACCCTAAATCATGCCAGCATGTCATGGCTCAGTGCTATGAAATCATAGAAGTTGTGCAATCTCTCTGCTCTAAAGCAAAGTATTTGTGCCTATCTATATGTGCTTCTGGGAGAGATTAGAACCCCTACAACCAATTTGTTGACTGATAAGGTGTTTCTCCTTGAAGCTAGGAAAAAGAAATGTTTAGTTGGTGTCTGCAAAAGACTGGGGAGAGAAATTAGTGCACCAGCTTGCATTTTTGAACGTACCTTGGGGTTATAGGTTTGAGGACTGTTGTGATGACCACCTCCATTTCGAAATTTTCTATTGCACAACTGATATTAGATGGCATCCTGTTCAGAAATTATGAGTTCAAAACTGGACCTTATCTTGTAACTAATGGGGGTTCTTGTTGATGGTCATGAAGGCCTGAACATGACCTCAAAAACCTACCTTTGGGGACTGCTAGCACTCCTAGGGTGGAAGAAAGAACTTTTGTCTGCTTGAATCAAGTGTGAATGTTGCAATTGGTCACCTTGATTACCATTTAATGGATTTGCAGTTTCAAAGCCTGGCTGGTTGCTGTTTGGGGGAGGGAATCCTTTTTTGGGAGGTGTTAGATGCAGAGCACTTGATGAACCAGCCAGGACACAGATTATTATTTGAGAACATAGAAATGCTGGACCACTCTAACAACTACCATGTGTGACTACACAGAGAAGCCACTGAAATCCACAAGCACTTGGATAATTTCAACAGAAAGGAGGAAACCATGAAAATGAACAAAATCTGGCTTCCAGTTTTAAAAAATCTCTAAAATCAGGACAGTAAATAAAGAGCAACACTAAAAAAAGCAGGGGAATTCCAGACAGGAATCAATCAGGGCCAGCTAACACTTCTCAACAAAGGATTCTGACTATTAGGAAGAACATTAGGAATTCTGAACATTATGAAGAACACCTGAACTGACTGTGAGAGCTGTTCATCAGTGGAACTCTCTGCCCCGGAGTGTGGTGGAGACTCCTTCTTTGGAGACTTTTAAACAGAGGCTGGATGGCCATCTGTCGGGGATGCTGTTGAATGGGATTTTCCTGCTTCTTGGGAGGGGGTTGGACTGGATGACCCAGGAGGTCTTTATTTATTTTGTATCAAAAGCATTGCATAAATTAGTATAAAACTGATAAAAATAGAAGCAGCACAGGCAGCTAAATATCTTTTGACCAAAAACAGGCAATAGCAACAGCATTGTCTGTAGCCTCCAACAGTTCTTCCTCTGTACATGAGGCAGGGCATAGTGAACAAGCATATAGTTGGGGTTGGACTGGATGACCCACAAGGTCTCTTCCAAATCCATGATTCTATGATTCCCCCTCCCCCTGGCAGCAACCAGCCAGGTTTTGAAGTTGCAAAGCCATTCAATGCTAATCAAGGTGTCCATTTGCAACATTCACACTTACCTCAAGCAGACAAGAGTTTTTTCTCCCACCCTGGACATTCCACAGATATATAAACCTCACTTGCCTAGTTTCCAACACACCTCACAACCTCTGAGGATGCCTGCCTTAGATGTGGGTGAAACATCAGGAGAGAATGCTTCTGGAACATGGCCATACAACCCAGAAAACTCACAGCAACCAGGTGATTCCGGCCATGAAAGCCTTCGACAACACAAAGAATATGGTTGTTGATGCCTGTTGCATATTGTGGTGTTAGTTGTAGACGTACGGGGACCACTAGGTGGCATTAGGTAATAAAGTGAATGTGCTCAGATCTTGTTTTCTATTTTTCGAAGGCTACATACTTGTGCACCAGCATATGTGAATGTTTACATCATTGCAGAACTTTCTTGTTAGGATTTTAGGACAGATTTGTGGGATTGGATGTGACCCCGTGGGTTGGAATACAGCAGACATTGACAACCTCATCAGAACAAACCAGACTCTGAACAGCCTGGCAGCTGTGATGGACTGGATGAGGGTTAACAGGTTGAAACTTAATCCAGACAAGACAGAGGTGCTCCTGGTCAGTCCTGAGGCTAACTGGGGTATTGATTGGTAACCTATTCTCAATGGGGTTACACTCACCCTGAGGGCACAGGTCCTAGCTTGGGTGTCCTCCTGGATTCAACGCTGTCACTTGATGCCCAGGTGTCGGTGGTGGCCGGGAGGTCCTTTGCACAGCTTAAACTTGTGCACCAACTATGACCACACCTTGTGAAGTCTGACTTGGCCAGGGTGGTCCACGCCTTGATTACATCCAGACTGGACTACTGCAATGTGCTCTTTTTAGTTTGGCTCGGATTTTTTGGGTTGCGACTGCAAATGTGCCAACCTTTAATGTTATATTTTTGGAATAATCTGCTAACAAGTCACAGATAACTGCTGCCTGTTGCTATGCTGCCCTTTCTTCCAAAAGGACTTCCAGAAGATTTTTTCGATGGTCATTGTACAATGGGCAATGTGCCGTCGCCCCTGGGGGCTATTATTCTCAATAAAGGAGGGGTGGACGTGGCATCTTTCCCCCAGGGGATTGCTTCTTGCCCTCCTATAGGAAACTGGAACTCCCAAAAACCCAAAACGCTGTAAATAGCTCAAGATAAGTTTTATTTATCACAAAGTCATTTCTTCAAAGCAATGAGCTGGAAAACTTTAGAGGGGTGAAGGAAAACATACGTTACAGTCTCAATTAGTCCTGGGTCCAAGGGGTTTGAAGCTGAGAAGCCTCACCAAGTTTCCTCTTTCCTCAATGGCTGTGAATGCCGGAGCAAACCACAACCCCAGTTCAGATGGCCTATGTTTTGAAGATTCAGGATCTTCCTTTGGTGCCAAAAGAACCGGCTTGAAGGCGCCTGGGTCTCCTCAATAATTGTCCAGGACGATCTGGACATAAAGCATGAGTCCCAGGGGTAAAAAACCTCAGAACTGGTGCTAAGAGGTAACTTAAATCAGGGTCCTTTAGAGTCAGGTCTCTTACTCACGTCCATGTTGCAGGAACTCTGATGGCAGAATGAAAAGAAAAAGGAAGTTCTCCCCTCTTGCAGGAAGAGGTGGAGCCAAATAGTACTGATTGACAGCTATTTATTTATTTATTTACTTACTTTATT